AGGACAATGAGCTAAATGAGCTCTCACTTCACCAATCTTAACAGCACCAAAACTAATTAATATTGATTATGTGAAATTTGGTATTATTTTAATGTTTTTCTATTTAAAAGCATTAAAGCTGCTGCTAATGGAAGTATTCCCTACTTCCTAAATTTCTCATAGTGGCTAATTATTCTATTCTTCTAATTTTCAGACTTATGTCTAAATCTGGTGCGTCAAATCTTTTTTTATACCACAACATAACAAATTGGTATTGTTTGAAAGTATTGGTATTGTTTTTGTTTAACAAAATCCTCATTTTATTTCAACACTGTGTGTGAAAGTTTGAATTTTATGTTTTTTTCTGTGACTAACTTGGTTGTGCATTTCAAAACTTCTCATATGTATATGACATATATTGTCTGGCTGCTCACATTTCTCCCTTTTGGAGATGTTTTTCAATCTCAGCAACAACCACAAAGTTGTTATTAACGGTACAAAGGCAACAATTCCCCCTCAAATTAAAAAAAGAAGAAGAAGAAGAAAACACACACACAAGCACACATATAAATATCCTTTAATACCCGTTTAGTCCTCCGTGACCTTGAGAATGTGGTGTAAAGACTGTGAGAAACTGCGCGCTGTTGCTTTGAAGACGATGGCTCAGGAAGAAAATGCTTAGGCCGCCTGACAATTGGCACAGAAAACTTAATATAAGCAGGATGATGCATTACAAATCTGCCATATAAAACACTACACCGGTGGTAAAATTGCTTCACCCAATTGCATTGGCTGTTGACTGCATATGTGTGTAATGGTAGGTCGGGAGTGTATGCTGCCCTGTCTGCGTGCCAGGGCTCCGGTCAGCCCACCCGTCGCAGATGTGTTGCCAACTCTCACTTGGCAGGCACTTTGAAACCTTTCTTTACCTCTGCAGTGGTCAACACTGTCAACATCTCCATCAGACCACATGTATACGCAGAGCCTCTGAATCAGTGTGACTGGAGCGTCTGTCTATGCATGTGCCTTTTTTAATGATGTGTGCTGCAGGTTTGTGCAAAC